CTGCCTCCTGAGTGCTGGGATCCAAGGCATGTGCCACCAAAAATTATGAGAATTTTCCAGAAGCCATGTGCATGGGAAGCATCCATCGGTATTCTTGAGGAAACCGTACATATCAGCTTCTCACAGAGTCCCACAAGCGAAGTGAAAGCTGATGCAAAAGCCAGTCAGTGGTCACACTTCAGGGACTACTTGCCACAGCTTCTGAGGCCTGAGAGAGCTTGAAGTAGCTAAGGGATGGCAGGACAACATGGTGTGGGATAGTCCTTATTTTGGACTTCTCATGCATGGTGCGCAAACTTCTACAAAAAAGTACCCACCAGGCCTTGCCCTCCCTGGCCAGGTTTAAGTTCGGTTTTGAGGTTTTTCTGGAGAGACATTTACCTGACTCTTCTTGTTCCTGTGAAAACCAGAGAACATTCCTGGAAGGCCTGACTATGCTGCAGAAGAGCCTGAGAGACATCTCTGAGCTGGGACCCGCTTACAGGACGTCGTGGGGCAGAAGCATCTCATCTCAGTGGCCCTAGCTCTTCAGTGTGACTTCAATACCCCCCCCCCACCTTGGGGGCTCCTGCTGTGCTCCCAAGTTGGGTGGTGTAGCAGGAAGGCAGAAGTGTGGAGTCTCTGCTGAATTTAAGGTCCCCGTCAGACACGGGCTCATGGGCCTTAGAAGGTGGTAACCCAGGTGCGCCAGCTCCTGAGCTTCTGCTGCCAGCATCTTCCTGTGCCATCCTGAGGTGAGGCTGGGCCCACCCACTCACCAGTGTAAGCAGAGCTTAAGCAAAAAACACCCACAAGCTCAGCTATGCAAATAGGTACATCAGGCGCTGGGATTCAGGGAAGGAGGCCAGGAAATGGCACAGGCAGGCTAAGATTCCTGGATGTCTGCGGGGGGCACGTGTATAGGAAGTCTGCCGGACAGCACTCAGCACTCGAGCAGGGGTTGCAGCTCTGGCCTCTGCATACTCACCTACTCCCGATTGATTCCTTACCTCACTTGGCTCCCACCAGCACCCTGGCTCTGCTGGCTTTGGCACTGGTTTTGAGAGCAGGCCTCAAATGTCAAAAGACATTCCCCACCCTCTCCCTGCTGGTTAGGAGCCTCCCCGGGTGGCCAGACCTGTGTGAGTACCAGCAGTGGGGCCTCTAGGCCAGCTCCCCAGGGAGGACAGCGAGGGCGGGCAAGTCCAGGCCTGCTAGGGAGAGCCGCCATGGAGTGTGTGTGTGTGTGTGTTGGGGGGCAGTGCTCTTACACAATCCTGCCGCTGGCGAGGCGGGAGGGTTGAAAGGCAGCTGGCAGCTCCCCAGGCCCTGACGCCTGAGCAAGGAAGCCACAGCCTGAAACTCCAGGGGTTCTGAAGGGCGGGAAGGCGGGAGCTTTTGAGGCCTGTTCCACGGTGGCTGCCTCCCAGACTCCATCATTCCTCGGAGGCCAAGGCACTGCCAACCATGCTGGGCACTGAATCACAGGCTTTAGAAACCCAGTGAAGACATCGTCCTCGTTTGTCAGGGAACATGGGAGAAATCTGCTGTTCCTTTTGCCAGAGTCCTGCACACCACACACTTACACACACAGAGGGCAGATGGAAGGCGCTGTCCTGAGAGCATGTTTCCCTGAATGTGCTGGACGCTGTTTTCAGCTCTTTTTGATTATCTAGTTATTCAGTTCCCAGGAACTGTTATGCTGTCTAGGTTTGGAGGTGAGGAAGAGGCTCACCTGATTTCACACAACCAGCAAACAGCAAGGCTGGGGCTGAATCCATCCAGCTTTAACACAAATATACATTTTTGTTTTGTTTTTGAGACAGGATTTCTCTGTGGCTTTGGTGGCCAAATATACATTTTAATTAAAAAACCCACATGTATATGGCCAGGCATGGTGGTACACCCCTTTAATCACAGTAGGAGGAGGCAGAGGCAGGTGGATCTCTGAATTCAAGGCTAGCCTGACCTACAGAGACAGGGCTACACAGAGAAAATTTGTCTTGAAAAATCAAAGCAACCAAACAAAAAGCTACATGTATGTATGTATGCTAGGAAAGGGAACCCACATGGAGGTCAGTGGAGTCTCGTGGTTCTCTCCTTCAGCGAGGTGGACCCTAGAGATTGAGATCAAGTCTTCAGGCTTGTAGCAACTTCATCCTGGTCATCATTTTGGCAGCCCCCAAATCTGAGCCAATACCCAAATACGTATGTCATGTTCTGGGTATCAGACAGAAATTGTGAGATAATAAGGAATGCATATGTTGGAAATGGCTTAGGAGACAGCCTAGGCTGCGGGCTAAGCACCTATAGGGCCAGGTAGGTTAAAATAAAAAGTGAGTCTGGCCTACTGGGGAATGTATAAAACAACAAGGGGTGTGCCCAGGAAAATTCCCTAAAAGTGAACTTGCCTGAGGCGATCTGGGCCACCTCCACAGATCAGCTTTAAGGCAGGTGCAGAACACCCCAGGTCTGTCTGAACTGACCTGGAGGGAGAAATGTGGCCTACTAGAGTTCCTTAGCTTGCTTCAAGAGATTTGGGCAACACCACAGACATGGCTTCCTCCTCTGGAGCAGGTAGGACAACGTTCTTTGTTGTCTCAGTAACCGCTGCAGCCCTGGCCCAGGGGTGACTTCTGTCCCGGGGTCTTCTCAACCATACCAGGACAGCCAGAGCTCCAGGCAGGGTTTACTTGGTAACTTTGGTCCCTTTCTAGAACCTCTGTACGAGTCAAACACTCACTGTCACGAATACAGGGGGTGGTAGGGAAGCGCTTGAATTTAGGTGGCTTCCGGAGCTGGACGTTTGAGCCTGCCCCCCCCCCTTCTTGGAAGGCAGGGGCACAAGACCAGATAAAGCAGTTTTCGAGGGAAATTCATACTCACCCAGCTTCTCACTGACGGCCACCCCACCTCCCTCTGCTTCCCCAAGCCAGAACCCGGTGTACTGTTCAGGTGTGAACTCAGAAGCCACAACTGCTGAGACAAGCTCTTTGCACATCTGGGCTTTGCAGGGGAGCAGTACCGGGAGAGTAGCGGGGCTCAGTGGGCACTGTCCTTTCCGTTTCCCGTGAGGCACACGCCCCCCACAGCTCCTACAAGAGGCTCAAAGGCCCCTCTCAGTTCACGGAGAGTGGCCCCAGGCCTTGTCACAGTAAAGGCAGCTGGCAGGGGTGGGGCAGGGGTCCGCCTCAGGGTCAGCCTGGTAACCTAGGGCGCTGAGGCGCCAACTTGGGGAGCTGCCCGTCTCCAGCCACTCGTGGGCTCCGAGAAGAGCCGGACCCCGCGAGAGCGAGGCCGAGGGACTCGCGGGGCCGGAGCGACCGCGGGACGACGGGCGTGGGCGCAGGCCGAAGGGTGGCGGCGAGGCACTCGGTTCCTTAAAGGACAAGTCGCTCGCCGAGGCCCAAAGGCTAGCGCGACCGGCACGTGCGCGCGGGGATGCGGGCCCGCCACGTGCGGCTGGCGGGGAGACCCCGGGTCCAGCTGCGGCCGTCCCCCGACACTGCGCGTCCCGCCGCTCTCCGCAAGCTCAGGAAAGTGCCCTCCCGCTGGGCATGGGCCAAGGCGCCCAAGGGAACCGGAAAGGGCCACTCAGGCTCCTCGCCTCGACCTCAAAGCTCCACGGCACTCGGCGCCCGCTGGCCCCGGCTCCCAGCTCCGGGTTTTCCCCACGCCCGAGTCCACGGCCCTCAGGAGACAGGCGGCAGGCACGGCCAATGGCAGGGCGCAAAGCGTCAACTTTGTGTTCGCCCGCCACGCTCAGCCAGTGCGCGCGGGGTTCTCCCAAGTCCCGCCTTCCGTGTCGGGCGCCCCCTTCTGGCAGCACTCTGTCGGACGCCGTCTGCCGCCATCTTGTGTGTGGCGGGGGTCGCCCCTCGGGACCGTTTACAGCCTCTCCAGTTCTGCTTCTCGCGCAACGGACTTCTTAGTTCGACAGCCAGCCGCGGCGGCGATTAAACAAATGAGCAACCCAGCGTTTCCAAGTTGTTCGTGCGAGCCGGCTCGCCGCGTCGCGCCACGCTTGCCGAGCCCATCGCCATCTTGAGTGTGGCATCTTTGTGGGTTTTCTTTCCTCGGAGCCCCGCGTGGTTCCTAAAGTGGCTCAAGTTTGAAGGAGCCCCGCAAGGACTAGCCCCAGTGACCTACGAGGCTGCCTTCCTTCAGTGCCCACCTGAGCCCCTGGGGTGTGAGGGAGAGGGGAAACCGGCCAGGGGCTGTCGCGACGGCAGTGACCTGCCCAGCAGACGGACACCAGAGCTCCCGAGCTCCGTGGCGAGGCCCGAGGGGCCGTCCCGCTCGAGGGCATCCGGTCCCTCCTCGCATTTGTCCCCGAGTGCGTGCGTGTGCTGGGCGCGAGGACCACTCATCGGCTGGCCCTGGACGGCGGGACGTGTGGGGGGCGGGGGGGGGTCGCTGCATTAGCGCCCTCGAGGCGGCGGGAAGAGAGGACGGGGCGGGAGCGCCCTGCCCCGCGTGAATTCACGCCCACTTTCACTGTGACAACTCTTGGTCGAAGGTGCGGGCCGGCCGTGGGCGCGGGAAGCACGCGGGGCACCGCCCGGGGCAAGCGCCGCCCAGCGCTCGCCCTCCCCTCCCCCTCGTGGGCAGCCCGCCGCCCCCTCCCCCTCCTTCCGAGCAGTCGCGAGAGGGAGGGGGAGGACGGGGGCTGGGCGGGCAGCTTTGCCGCGCTTTGGTCGCCTGCGTCAGAAGCCCTGGCAAAACAGCCTCGGGAGCGCGCGGCGGGGAGCGCGCGCGCGCGAGCCCCCCCCTCCTCGGCGTCGCCGGGACCCGACGAACCCGAGACGCTGAATGACAGTGCGGCGGGGCGCTGCGCAGCGCGCGCCGAGCTGAGGCACTGCCGCTTTAAGCTCGCTTGCCCATTGTTCGGAATCGGGCCAATGAGAGGCCGCCCGCTCCCCGAAGCCAGCCAATGGCGTTGGGCCCAGGGTGGTTGAGTACCGCCCACTAATCTATATTAAAGGTTCTGGCGCCGCGTGAGTCCCCCACTGGCTGCTCCGAAAAGCCATCTTTGCATTGTTCCCGGGTCCTGCTCCGCGCTCGCTGCAGCCGCCTTCGCCGCCCGCCTCCTCCTCCTCCTCCTCCTCCGCGGCGGACTCCGGCAGCTCTCTCGCCAGAGTCCTCGAGCTCGGTCTCTCTCCTCCCTCGCTGCAGCGCATCACCGGCGTGCCCCACCATGTCAGACGCGGCCGTGGACACCAGCTCCGAGATCACCACCAAGGTGAGGCTGGACGCCGCCCGCCCCCTCGGGGTCCGCGCGCCGTCGCCCGCGCGGCGCGGGGCGCGTGGCGGCCGGGCTGGGCCGAGCCCGCCGTGACGTGCGGGCTTCCCGGGGGGACCCCGCCAGCTTCCCGCGGCGCGGCGGCTGCGGACACCCACTCTTTGTGTGCGGGGGAGGGGGCGCGGCGCGGGCGGGCATCCGTGCGGCCGTCGGGAGCGGGCCAATGGCCTGGGGGTCGACGCGGAGCTGGCGGGGCGGGGGGGGGGGACGGGGAGGCTCGGGCCGCGCACCCTCGAAACTTGTTTGCGAGGCGCGGCAGCGGGAGTCGCGGGGCCGGGCCGGGGTCGCGGGGCAGCGGCGCACGGAAATAACTTTGAAACTCGGGCGCGTCGGAAGTGCGGGGGGCGCGTGTGCGGCGCCGGCGGGCTGCGGGCTCTGGGGGCCGCGCTGCTCTTTGTTAGGCGCCCGGGTTCGCGGCCCGGCAGCGGGTGACCGGGGCCGGAGTGGCGCGGGTGGGGCGGCGCGAGTCTCGAGCCAGGGCCCCGGCCGCGGAGGGTGGTCCGGCCGGCGGCGCGTGCTCCGCTCCAGTGCGGCCCGGGCGGCGGGGCGGAGAGTGGGCCCGGGCGGCCAGCCCGCGCGCCGGGGGGAGGAAGCGGAAAGCGGGGCGGCCGCACCGCGGGGCGGCGATCCTGCGGCGGCCGAGCAGCCCGCGCACACTCGCCGTCCTGGCTCCCGAGACCCGGGGCGGCCGCTCGCCCGGCGCACTGTCTCCGCCCTCGGCCCCGGTACGCCTTGCTTTCAAACGTCTCCGTGTTCGCGCCCCGCTCCTGCGGCGGAGGCTCGAGACGAGTCACCTTGGTGTCTCTTGAGTCTGTGCCCGGCGCCTTCGCCCGCGCGGGCGACCCCGTGCTGAGGGGACCCAGGGCGCTCTTCTGGAGCGCTGCCCGGCCGCTCCTGCGCGCTGACCCGCCCTCCCCCACGCGGCCTCGCTAGTCTACGGCGAGTTCCCTCGAGGCTCGACGCGCCGCCCCGGGGAGTGCGCCCCCGACGGCCTCGGCTTGGAGCGGAGAAGCTCGCAACCCCCCGCGGCCTCCCGCGGGACTTTGCGCGCCAAAACTGGAGGCGGAAGCCGCGTGTTGACCCTCGCGGTGGCGGCCACGGGGCGCGTCACGTAGCTCGCTCTCCAGCCTGAGACCCGCGCTCGCCCAGGCGAGCGTACCGCGGGTCCCGAGCCCAGGCGCACTCCGCTGCCCCGGGCCACGTGCTCTTTGCGCGCGGTGCGTGCCGAGGCTCGAGCGCGGAGTTGGCTGGGTGAGCGCTGTGCGCCTGCGCGCCGTTGCCACCCCGCCCCCACTGACTCCCCCGGGCTTCGGCCGCTAGGGGGCGGGAGCGCGCGCCCTGGGGTCCTGGGCAGGCGTCTGGTGGGCGCGAACCCGCCAACGCCGGCAGGTGAGCCAGGCAGCCTGGCCTGAGGCCTAGCCGCGTCCTGTGCCTGTCCCCTTGGGCGGTCGAGTCAGACACGCGAGTGGAAAAAGTTACCCAGCGGCGCGGCCGCAACGCTGTAGTGTGCAGAGTGCCAGCTTTACTTCCCTGGGCTAAGGAGCCGGGAGGTCCTTAGTGCCCACCGTGGCCGCCGGGGCTGCAGCCGTTTGGCCGAGGCGCCTCCGGCTCCCATCCGGACTCGCACATCCATCCCTGAGCGAGCGCCCCCCCATCGACAGGCTCCTCCCTCCACTACCTTATTTATTTATGGCACGGCACAGCCACCGCCTTCCAAGAAGGGGATCTGAGGGGTGGAGCTCCCTCTAGCTGGAAACGGGCAGCGAAGGGCGGGCAGGTGAGGGCGGCAGCTCCCGAGCGTGCCTGCCCGGCATGTCGGGTTTGTGGCTGTGGTGCCATATGGTAGCTGAGAAAGAAGCCTGAGTTCATTCTGTGTGCTGGAGATGGACTGCAGGCCTTCGGTGCCTGCTGTGACCCATCCTTGTGACGTTTCCCCGCCGTAGCCAGTTACTCCCAGCATTGGTCATGGGCCAGCTTCACCCAACTCTCAGCACCTTGGCTGAGAGTCTTAACGGTGCTGGAGTCTAACGGGTTTCCTCTTCCTTCTGAAGGACTTGAAGGAGAAGAAGGAAGTTGTGGAGGAGGCAGAGAATGGAAGAGACGCACCTGCCAATGGGAATGCTGTAAGTGCACCCCGCTCAGGGTTCTGTTCTTGCTCTTAAATTTCAGCATAATTCTGTGGTGAATGGTGTCGGTATCAGGCATATCCTTGTAAAATCTCAGGGCTTGGGAGGTAGCATGTTTAGCTGTATGGTGGGCATTTCTGAGGGCAAAGTGCATTGGACGTGCAGTTCTGCTTTGGAGGTGGCTAATGTTAGGTGTCTTTTCTGTCTAGCAAAATGAGGAAAATGGGGAGCAAGAGGCTGACAATGAGGTAGATGAAGAAGAGGAAGAAGGTGGGGAGGAAGAGGAGGAGGAGGAAGAAGGCGATGGTGAGTAGTCTTATTTTCTCGGGTTCCTTCCTTGGACTTTGCTTTAAGAAGTGGTTGGGTTCTGGGCAAGTGCACCACATCCCCCTGTAGTGTTCCAGAGGAGGCAAGGCCTTGTGTCAGTCGAGTGCTCCACCATCTTCTGTTGGACAGTTCCTCATTCGAACACTTAATCTGTTGCCTGGCCTGTCCACTTTGGCAGGTGGCACAGACAGGTCAGGACCAGTGACGATGGCTGTGATTGGAGGACAGTGGTTTATGTGGCTCTTGATTTATCCTTTCCAGGTGAGGAAGAGGATGGAGATGAAGATGAGGAGGCTGAGGCTCCTACGGGCAAGCGGGTAGCTGAAGATGATGAGGTAGGCCTTGGCTTGGGGTTTGGGATATGAGGTATGTTTCCTGATGTACAAAAGCTTGAGGCTGGTTCTGGCTTTCTGTGTGGGACATCCCAGCTTTGCTCTCCTGTAAGACTGGGGGGGTGGCCAGGAACCCTGGACCAGTCTTGCTGTTTACACACAGCTGACCTGCAGTGACAGGGCTGATAACTGTTTTCTGTGCAGGATGATGACGTTGACACCAAGAAGCAGAAGACCGATGAGGATGACTAGACAGCAGAAAGGAAAAGCTAAACTTAAGGCCGCCGTGACCTATTCACCCTCCACTTCCCGTCTCAGAATTTAAACGTGGTCACCTTCGAGTAGAGGAGCAGGCCCCGCCCATAGCGGGCAGTGCCACCCACAAATGACATGCGCTCTCCACCACCCACCAAAACCACAACATGAATTTGCAACAGGGGAGGAAAAAAACCAAAACTTCCAAGGCCCTGCTTTTTTTCTTAAAAAATACTTTAAAAGGAAAATTTGTTTGTATTTTTTATTTACATTTTATATTTTTGTACATATTGTTAGGGGGTCAGCCATTTTTAATGATGACGGGTGACCAAGCCAGCCTTCAGAGCGTCCTCTGTCCTACTTCTGACCTTACTTGTGGTGTGACCATGTTCATTATAATCTCAAAGGAGAAAAAAAACCTTGTAAAAAAAACAAAACAACAAAAAAACAATCTTATTCCGAGCATTCCAGTAACTTTTTTTGTGTATGTACCTAGCTGTACTATAAGTAGTTGGTTTGTATGAGATGGTTAAAAAGGCCAAAGATAAAAGGTTTCTTTTTTTTTCCTTCCTTTTTTTTGTCTATGAAGTTGCTGTTCTATTATTTTTTTTTTGGCCTGTTTGATGTATGTGTGAAACAATGTCCAACAATAAACCGGAATTTTATTTTGCTGAGTTGTTCTAACAATGGTGTCTTGAGCCTCATTCTTTGTGTACGTAGTTCTTCGAGACTGTATCATCCCCTGAGCCTCCTGAATGACCACAGGCATTGGGGGAGATGTTAGGGCAGTCCTGCTGATGAGATGGCTCTGCATGTGGAGTCTGTTAGTGGCCCAGGTCAAGTAAGAACCTGTGCCAAGTTCTTCCTGGGCTTCTAATAGGTACTGTTTAGTGGTTCCCCCTAGTGGTGGCTCATGGTACTTGCCAGCTGAGCCTCTAGGTTCTAAAGCATTTTTTTTTACATTATGGGGCTCGAGTAACCTAGCAAGTATACATCTTGCCCTTGAAGGAACACATTGTGGAAGAGGGTGGGCGATTTGTTTTCCAGACTTGGGTGAGAAGAGCATTCTGTAGGGGGTGCTATGCTAGGTTGGGTTGGAGCCCAACTACCTGGGATGTGGAACACAGCTCTTCAAGGTGGTTGAAGGCTGGGCTGTAGTGTAAAGATGAGCTTTCCTAGCTTGCGGTGGGTGACTGAGGGAAGGGACACTGACTCCATAGGGAGAACAGTGGTCACAGCTTTTGAGACTCAGTTAACATAGCTAGTAGAGAAGTCTGGGCTCAGATCACTGGCCCCTAACCCTAACGCCTCAACTCCAACTCCTGGGATCCAGCTTCCAATGGAAGCATTGTGGGTCCTGTAGGTAGTACCCTCATTTGCAGTTCGTTTGAGTTCCTCTGCATTTGCATTAAGGAGTCATTTAATCTGGAGTAAATAAATAGCAAGCCAGTGCATTCATTTAAAAATTCCTGACTGGGTGTGGTGGCTCACTCTAATTCCAGGACTTGGGGAGGTAAACCTGGCTTACAAAAGCAAGTTCCAGAGCCATTACACAGAAAACCTGTCTCAACAAATTTAGTGACTCGAACCCTGGACCCCAATAACTACAGAGGAGACTTATGTGAAACTTAGGAAGCGGTGCACAGGGAAAGATGGATTTAAGGAAGGGTTAGGGTGATTCAGGGAGAGAGGTGAGGCAGCAGGGGAGAGACCCGGCTCCTCCCCCTGTAGAACAGGTGCAGTCTCTCCACCCGTGTACATGCGGCCATCTTGTCACCTTGAGGCCGACAGGACTTCTTTGCCGCAGCTGTGACAGTCCTGCTCATTGGCTGGGCTGTTCACCATTCAGCATGAATATATCCCAGATCAGGGCTTTGGTGTGGAACCCTGTGTACCCTTCTAGGCCGGTTTTTCCAGGAAAGAAATCCAAACTACCCAGGAGAGTTGGTCCTTCTTGTGGTGTTCCCAAACCGGGAGTCCAGGAAGGGGAGGTCTCTAATGCAGGTCTGAGGGCTTTGTGATCCATGTGTAACAGCTGTGCATGATGGAGCTAGTTGGCAGCAGCTAAACCTGTTCCCTGAGGCTGCAGCCAACGTGTAGAGTACTGGCCTGACAGCCATGTTAATAGGGAACCAGTGAGTGAGTCTTGCTGGAGTATCAATCGTGTCTTCTGGAAGACGAGGACAAAAGTTTGAGGCTTGAGCCAAGGCCTTGCTGACTTGCTAGTTCTTTGAGACAACCAGACGTACGCTGAGCCTGCATCCTGTTCCATCAGATAACGTCCTTATTTCTCCAGAGATTAGCCCCGGGAACTGCCACCCTTCGCTGAGTACACGTTTCCCTGGTCCTGTGCAAAGCACACAGTTAGTCACTGCCCAGGGACCTTTCCAAATGGTTCAGGGTCACCAAGCCCCCGCTGCTGACATCGCCAATGCCTAGGAAAGGACTGGAAGATTCGTGAACAACGGGCGCCCTCTGGTGGTCACAGGGCTTCAGGGGCTCACAAGATTTGTTAGGTCTAGGAAAGAGCCTTTCAATGGGCCAGGCACAGGGGAGGTGCCTCCCTCTCCCTTGCTGGAACTTGAGTCAGTGTGGAGTTAGTGTCACTTCCCATGCCACCCCCTCAGGACAGCTAATGTCTCATTCCAAGGACCTGGTCCTTTTTCTGGAGGGGAGACTCTAGGCTTCCCAAGAGACAGCTGAGACCCCAAAAGACTTGTCTGGTGCTAGGGCCTCCCCAGAGTTACGTCTTGGGCTGCTCTCAGGGACCAGCATGGCAGTGACTTACCCCCTTGTCGCTCACTGCAGATGGTCTACATGCACAGTGCCCTCCTGGGGCCAACCCAGCTCTGGATTGTCAGTGTCCCTGTCCTAGAAATGGGCCATCCCTGCCTGCCCCAGGCTTCCGACTTCTCTGTGGCCCCCTCTTGGTGGAAAGTGATTTTTGGAGACAGAAGCCCTGTGACCAGTTTTATTTGGGGCTTCTCTTGGTCTGGTGTGGTCTCACAAGCCTGGCCTCTGACAAACTTACCCAGCAGCTGAGCCCTGATCAAGTGTATTTAAGGTTTTTGCACCATGACCAGCTTGTCCTCATCACAAGGATAGGACCACCCGTCACCTGAGACCTTCCTCTCTGGAGACCGTAACTTTGAGCTTGTAGGAGTTATGGATGGCTAACTTGGGAAATAGCTGAAAGGGTTTAAGGCCATCTGGTCCACAGTACTCATGCGCTGGCCTTTACGTGCATAACCTGGAGTGAATGCTGCCAGCTGGTGTCTGGTGTGGATCCCACGATATTCTTAGCAGAAGCAAGGAACCCGGCTTGGAGCATGCATACCCAGAGGCTCTCCATCAAAGCTGCTCCCATAGTAACAACGGGAGCCAGCTGGTCACGAGACACTTGCATCCTCCATCCTTTTGGTGATAACTGCCCGAAATAGAGTGTTTCCTTTTCCTCCTGGAGAATGTTCCTCATATAACTCTTAGGCCAGTCTGGGGTAGAATATTAGAGTTGGTACTGGCTGCACTGAGTGGTTCAGAGTTGGCCAAGACACCCAATCGGAGGGAGCCCTAGTGCTCTGGAATAATCCTTCTGTACACTGTATGAATATATGTTGCTGTGATTGGTTTAATAAGCAAGCTGACTGGCCAATAGCTTAACAGGTTAAAGTTAGGGGGTAAAGCCAAACTGAGAATGTTGGGATGAGGAAGGGTGGAGCCAGAGAGTTGCCAGCCAGATGCAGAGAGGGCAGGAGATAAATATACCATGCTAATAAAGGTGCAGCCATATGGCAGACCATAAGCAAGGAATAGGGTTAACTTAAAATGTAAGGGCTATGCTGGGTGTTGGTGGCACATGCCTTTAATCCCAACACTTGGAAGGCAAAGGCAGGAGGATCTCTGTGACCAGCCTGGTCTACAAGAGCTAGTTCCAGGACAGCCTCCAAAACAATACAGAGAAACCCTATCTTAAAACACTAGAAAAAAAGACAGGGTTTCTCTGTGTAGCCCCCCCTGGTTGTACTCTGTAGAATAGGCTGACCTTGAACTCATAGAGATCTGCCTGCCTCTGTCTCCCAAGTGAGTGCTGGGATTAAAGGCCTGAGCTAGCCACTCTATTTCTTTGTAATTAAAATATTATTTTGTTATTTTTATGTGTATGGGTGTTTTGTCTGTATGAATGTATGTGCACTATGTGTGTGTAGTACCCACAGAGGCCAGAAGAGGGCATCACACCCACCCTCAGAACTGAAGTTACAGATGGGTTGTGTGCTGAAGTGTGGGTGCTGGGAATCCAAACTTGGCCTCTGGAAGGGCAGCCAGTGCTCTAAACCACGGAGTCATCTCTCCTTTAAAAATACTTTGTATTTTCACCTATGTGTTTGTGTATGTATCCATATGTGGATAAACACATGTGAGTGTAGATACCAATGAAGGCCAGTGGCATTAGATTACCCCAGAACCAGAGTTTGTTTGTTTGTTTTTGAGACAGGGTTTCTTTGTGTTGCTTTGGAGGCTGTCCTGGAACTAGCTCTCATAGACCAGGCTGGTCTGGAACTCACAGAGATCTGCCTGCCTCTGCCTCCCCAGTGCTGGGATTAAAGGTGTGCACCACATATTTATTTCTTATCTGTGTGGGTGTTTTGTCTATGTAACACATGGTGGTTAGACCAGGGTATTGGGTCTCCAGGAACTGGAGTAATAGATGGTTGTGAACCACCATGCTTGTGCTGAGGATCAAACCCGAGTCCTCTGAAACAGCGTTCTAAACCACTGAGCCATCTCTCCATGCTACTACCCCTGTTTTTGAAACAGGATATCACTATGTAACCCTGGCTGGCCGGAAACTTCCAGCAATCCACCTGGCTCTGCTTACTGAATGTTGGAATTAAAGGCCTGTGCCAGTATGCCTGACTCCAGGCCTTATTTTATTTTATTTTTTGGTTTTTACGAGACAGGGTTTCTCTGTATTGTTTTGGAGGCTGTTGGTCCAGCCTGGCCTCGAACTCACAGAGATCCGCCTGCCTCTGCCTCCCGAGTGTTGGGATTAAAGGTGTGCGCCACCACCGCCCGGCTCCAGGCCCTATTTTTACTTTTTATATGGGTGAATGGTTTTGCATGTATGTATGTCCATGTACTATGTGTGTGCCTGGTGCCTCCAAAGGCCAGAAGAGGGTGTTGAATCCCCTGAACCTGGAGGTTCAGGTCATAGGGCGCCACAGGGGTGGGGCTTGGGGACGGAACCCGGGTGTTCTGCAAGGCCACAGTTGCCTTAACCATTGAGCTGTCTCTTTGCCCTTCAAAGGTCGTATCTTCACAGCGTTCTAGTTCTTCTCAAACCCTTCCCGGCTGACGGGGTGTGCCGACTGGTCTACCTGTGCCCTCTGCGTCACTTTCTTCGGCCTCTGGTGTTGGACGTCACGGCTTTATCCCTGCTTTGGATGGCAGGTCCTCACCCCGCAGCTGACACAGTAGCTTGGAGATGCTCCAGGATAAGGGAGGAAACACCACCCCACCCCACCCCGCCATGGTCAGGCGCTTGAAGTCTACCAGAAGAAGGCACACCTGAGGAATGGGAGGGGAGAGCCATGCTGTTTGTTGAGGTGGTAGGAAAGGTTTGTTTTTTCCCCTTGTAAAGGGCCCACGGGGCTTTTAACAGACCTGAGAGTGCTGAGTCTCCAAGA